CAGGGGTCATCTCCTTAGGTCAGTATTGATCATGCTCCTTCTCCCTACTTATATGCTGAGCCTCTGAATATGGTAGTGCCTGAGATGAAGTCTGATAGTGAAGAAGACCCAGATGATGTTGTGATTGCTAGTTTTATTAGGACTAGGAGTAAGCCAGTTGTAGCTCCAGAGCCAACTCCTAAGCGACCCACTACACAGTTGCAGAAAAATGAGGCTTTAGAGTCTGCTCTCAAAAAAAGTCAAAGGAGTAAAAGAAAAAGAAGGCTGGTAAATGATATAAAAGCTGTGAGTAAAAAGGTTGTCCATGTGGTAGATGTTGATAAGGAAGCTGAAGAGGAACCCAGTTCCTTGACTTACAAGTCCTCGAAGCAGAAGCACTCTCACTCTCAATCCAAAGGAAACATTTGTACAAGTGTTAAAAGTCCAACCAAGAGTGTTGATGCTGCCCCTAGTGAAAAATTTGTGGAGAGATCTGGTGATAAGGCAGTGGAAAAGAGTGGTGGTGAGTCTGATGATGAAGAAGTTGAAAATTCTGGTGAACATATGCATAAAAAGTCAATGGAGAAGGGAAAGTCTATTCGCAAGTCAGTGAAAAGAAAAGTGGATTATGATGAAGAACCGGGTGCCATCAAGAAAGCAAAAGTTGGTAAGTCTATGAGTTATGAGAAAAAGAAGTTGAGAAATCAGAAAGTACTTTGGGGCCGCACATTTGCCTCTGACACTGTAGAGCTTGCTGGGATGAGACAGTTAGTGGACATTTGTGATTTCCAACAATGGACTTATTTGTTTGCAAATGATGTTCCAAAATTATATGAGGAGGAGGTGTAGAGTTTTTATGCTGGCCTCTTCACAGTTGAAGACGATCAAATCTGTGTGTTGGTAAATGGGGTGGACATAGTGATGGACTCAGCCGTATTGGGGTCAATTTTGGGTGTTCCTATTGAAGGAATGTCGTCTGTTCGGGGTGCCTGCACGTCAAATTTTAGAAATGTCATTGTCAAGGACAAGGCAATCCAGCAGGGGAACAGGTGCATAAAAAGTCACACATTCCAATATATCAGTTGCTTTTTGAGATGGTTAACAAAGTGTTGCTTCCCCATGCTGAGAGGAGATCTAATACGTCCAAAGCTGGCCTGCTCCTTATTGAATCCTTGGATAATTTTACCACAATCAATCTACCTGGGATAATGATTGAGCATATGCAAAAAGTGGCAAACTTTAAAGATAGAAACCATGGACTACCATATGGGTTTCCACTCACAAAGGTCTTAGAATTCTTCAAAGTGCCTCTGGGGCAAGCTAAAATGGGCACGAAAAGCAAACCTTCTCCAAGACCACTCTTGAGGAGTGTGAGTGTATTGAAAAGATCGGAGGAGTTGGAAACACCTCTACTATCTCTCAACTGATAAATGCTCAAAATAGTGCCACAAAGGAGATCCGGAAGTTGAAGGCTAGGAACGCGATTCTTGAGAGTCAGCTCGCTCAGTTACAAGAGGTACCTGGTTNCCGTTAGGACCGCGGGCCCGGTCCGGTCCGGTTCAGGCCCGGCCCACCGAGCAGCATTACCTGGTTCCAGCAGTTCTCACAGCTCAGAGGTTGCCTGCCTAACAAAGCAGAGTGTTGAGCTTAGGAAATAGGTGGAGGACCTGAAAGAAAGACTGCTCAATGAGCAAATGTCCACGAATGTTCGCATGGATCTTGTCCTCCAAACCTTTGCCTCCTCTTCCAAGCCCTCTTCCTCTAGCGTCCTCTAAACAAGTGTCCTCTCAGTGGCAGTTTCCAATGTCTATCTTTTAAGTGTGGTTTGGTGATGTCTTTGTTTTTGGTACTTGTTTTTGTTTTATTTTGGAATTGTGGATGATAACAGTGATTCTAATCCGGCCTGTAACAGTCCAAATTTGGTTAATGCAAGTTTTTCCCTTTTACTGATTATGTTATTGCTCTTTTGTCTCTGTCTTCTATCATGTTGTGTGCACACAAGTGGCATCAGTTAACCACGCTAGACTTCTTTATGTTGTTTACTTGGTCTATACTTTTTATGATGCCAAAAGGGGGAAGATTGAATTGATTATTTTTGCATAATTAATAATCAAATATAATTGATAATTAAACAATGATGTGCATTGATTAAGGGGGAAAACATATTCAGGGGGAACTCATTGAGGTTCCTGATGCACTATCTAGTTTCAGTGGGAACTCACTAAGGTTCCTGATGCACTATCTGGTGTCTGTCCGATTTTCAATTATAAGCTTGTCATCATCAAAAAGGGGGAAATTGATAGGTTACAAGTACCTTAGTTACTAGTACCTTGCCTTATGTTTTGATGATCTAATAAACTTACTATCAAGAACCAAATAAGGAACCTGTTATACATTCTCAAGACCTTAAGATCACAAGGTTCCAGCTTGGGATATGGTTCAACTCTCCAGAGTCGAAGGAACAGTTGAGAGAACAGATATCTACAAGCTCCAGAGGCAACTGTACGAAGTCAACCCTCCAGTTGTAAAGTTGTTGCCTGCACACGCTACTGTACAAGAACAGTGCAGCAGACAACTTTCTGTGGAAGGCTTTTTACCTACCTTGCTTACATCATTGTAAGTGATGTTACACATGTATTATTAACATCAAGGAAGGTAAAATAAAGTCACTTGAACACTAGAGAATTCATTCAAGCACTCCAAGTGATTGATCATCAAGAAAAACGATTCTCCAGTGCATCAAGAACAAAGCACAATGCTGCTACGGACCAGTTCCCATATCAAGTCTTTGTATGTCCTTAGTAGAGTTGTAACTTTATGTTAGTTCTTCAATTGTAATTCCTACTTAGCTTGTTAGAAGTATTCTATAGGAAACTCTCTGTAAACCTTAAACCTTTGTGTTTGAGTCTTAGCTAGAGCTAGTCGAGTTGTAAAGTCTTTGTAATAGAGTTATTACAAAGTGGCTTATAATAGAGTATTACAAGTTAGTGAGAGATTAAGAGGTTAATTCCTAGGTTGCATAGGTTGTAATCTAAAAGTTGCTCAGTAGTGAAGATGAAATCCTACAAGGGTAGGTCGTAGTTTTTAATCCCGTTGAGCTGGAAATTTTCCACTTAAAATTCCTCTTGTCATTTCTTACTGTTGTGTGCGTGTGTTCTTTTGAACCTGATAGAGAACCTGGTTCTCCATAGAGTTTGGTGGACCCTTATATTCTATCATGTTGTATTTTCTTTCAAACAGTGATGTAGTAGATATTCTAGTTTTACTCTGTAGAACTTATGATTCATTTCTACCGGCTTTGGGAAAGTATTGGTTGAGATTCTATTTTAGATGTTTATATCAGTTATTCAACCTTGTTTTTTTAGTATCTTGTTAATTCTTTATGTTAGGTTATTATTAACTATTAGGCTTACCTAATTGTAGAGACTAGATGCCATCACGACATCCTACGAAGAGAAATTAGGATTGTGACAAAAAGACAGACAAATCCAGCAATATTGCCAAGTATAAAAGTTGTCAAGTATAAAAGCAAATTATAATAACAAGACTACATAGAAACATAAACGAAGGAGAAGAAAACAAGTAGTGTCCATTACCAAGAAAGCAAACACCATATTTGGTTGTCAGCACTAAAACATAATACATGTCTCCATCATTCGTTTACATCTAACTTAACAAATTCATACTTTCAGATTATATCCTTTTCACTTTCATGTTGTGCCACCTTTCTTGCAGTGACTATATACTATATTTATTCGCAATCTTCTCTTCTTGTGCGACTCATGAATTTAGAAAATTGAGGCTTTAAATTGTCAAACAAGTGTAGTTCTCTTGTAACTTTACCATGAATATTACATGATAAGTTTCAGTCTCCGTTTAAGTTGAATTTACTAGTAGATGTTAATCAGTTAACTCATTCATGATTAATCTGTTACGAGTTTTCTATTCCAGAAGCAAAAGTAGTACTTTATTCACATTCGGCACGGTGAATTAACTAATAACTGTTTTTCTGTTAGCATGAAGGGTGGCTGTGAGAAATTGAAGCAACATTCAATCGATATTAAAGAAAATAAACACAAAACTAATTGAAGGATAAGTTTTTGCTGCATTGTGCTCAATATTCAAAAATATACATTAGCACAGGCACATAATAGTTACATTTTTATGGAGAAAGAAAAGTTGAGAGAAAGAGAAATTTAGAGCATTGCCTGGTAATTTGCTGGAGAAAACTTTGCCCGAATCCAGGAAGAAGAAGAATCGAAGAAGGGTTTGAGGGTTCTTGGGAGAAAGAGCATTTGGGGAATTGAGGGTTTGAGTCGGATACAAAGTGCGAATTGGGAAAAAAAGAACAAAAGTATGCTGAGTCAACTTATTTTTTACCCGACCCAACTATTAACCCATAATGTGCCCTACCCTACCATGCGCTATTAAAAATTTTCAGAAATAACATTTTGCCTTGTCCCGCCCCGCCCCATTAAAATCTTCCTATGTCCTGCCCTAATAAAAGTTTGCCCTGGCCGTCCTACCCCAATTATCATCCCTAAGTACTATTTCTATTGGTACTAGAACACCAAAAAAATGAATACCTATTTATGTATGATATTTCTAGTTGAAATATTTTGCTATATATATATATATAATTTGACTGCGCGAATTGTAGATAACTTAACTAGTTTTCTCTATATTTATGGCTCAAGTAATTTTCTTTTCTTTTCTTCATAATTTTTCCCAAGTGGGTTACACTCTACAGCATAAATAAGAATTTAGTGGGTGCAACTGAACCAAGACGCGAAATATAAATTTATGTTTAGAGAATTACTAAAATTACAAGAGATAGTAGTAGATTTGCCTCTGCTCAGACCACTTCATAGTTCAGCGATATAAGTATTAAATTTGAATTTTATAAAGTTACATATCTACACACTAAGTTTGTCATGAAAAAGTAGTGATGCAACAATATAGTGATATTTTGCCTTTGTTGATTCAAGATATTGAAGCCGCATTTGAATTTGAACAACTTAAAAGTAATTTGGGGTCCAATGTCATAATTGTAAGGAAGAGATCGTGCAATTCACTTTACACACAGCAATCAGCTAGTAACTCCATTTAAATCCTACACCAGTACCCCCCAAATCAATCCTACTAAAAAAAGGAGTAACTACCAACTTTACACTTTAGACAAACGTAGTCTTGTCAGGAAGCCAATCTCAATAGAATCTCATAAAACACAAATAAATTTAAAAGAATTGTGAAACGAACAGATTTTACTGATCTTGAGAACGAGGTTGCCTGCGAAAAGGTACATCCTTCTTAATCACCACAACGTCTTTACCATCTTCCTCTTTTACATTTTCTACCTTACTCTCTGTTTTCTTCTTTGACACTCGGAATGCACTCTTCAATCCATTCATAAACCTTCGACTAAAGTTACTCTTTTCCACTTTCATACTTAACTCGTACGACACTTCTGATGAATTAGACGACGCAAGTAATCCTCTTTCTCTACCTGTAAGAATCCGAAAGCTCGCTGAGGAAACTGATCCAATTTGTCCTCTATCAATCTTATTCTCGGAACTCAATCGAAAACTAGCAGACCGAGCAGAATCATGCGTCAAATTACTCTTCGTGTTTTGATCTGATTCTTTAAGAAGCTTCCTCATACCACTCAATTCATTCTCCAAGCTCTGGATTCGCGAGCTCGTGGCATTCATCGCTGCCTTAAGTTGTGCCACTTAAGTTGTACCTAAACTGACTTCGTTTTTGTTTTGGAGATGATTAATGTGATGATGGTGGTGGTTGTCGGCCGCAGTCGCGGTGAGGATAGAGCGACGTGTGTTTAATTGTTCCACAAACATGGCTTGGACCACAAACCTTAATGGCATTCTTGAGTTTTGGACCGCATGCATTAGAAGTTGAGGCGAGAGAATGGTACAGTCGATGTAATTGCACATTGCTATTTTTTCTTCATCTGATATCTTGCCCTTGTATCCCTGTTGAAAAAAAACAGATTCAACAGATTAAAGGACAAAACAAATGGAGAATCATTAATATTGGTAGGAAATTGTGATTTAGACCCAAATTTTGAAAGGAAGAATTACACCCCAATCTAAAATGGCCTAGGTTTAAAGTCCTTACCCGATTTGGTCCAGGTTGTAGAAAATTTGAAAGAAACTTTTCAACATTTAGCCCGTTATTGAAGACACACTTCTAGGGGTTTTTTTCTTTTCTTCTTTCTTCTTTCCCAGAATACTCAATCTCTCCCCACTCGCCGCTCTCATCTTTCTCCCTAAAAATTACAGAATTATTTTGTACACAATCGTGTTAATTGCTTTTGAGTACAAGGGCTCTTTAATCCTCAAACTCTATGTCAATTAGGTTTCGAATTTTGAGTTAATTGACGAAAAGGGGTTAAGGAACCACAATAAATTTGGCCTACCGGTCCAGAAATTATTAGATCTGGCTTAAAACTATCAAATCTTGCCTAGAAGAGCATTTCCGACGACCTCGTCTCGTATTTTCTTACTTTTCTCAGTTTTTATATCATCCTTTGCTACTGGTGAAGCCTAGATTTGAATGGCAAAACCTCGCCGTAAAATTCAACACCAGCAACCACCCAAAAATACAAAGTAGTGATGGATAGAAATGTTTTCTAGTGTAAATGTTGAATGGGTAATATTTATACACACTTATACAATATTGTATAAGGATGTATAAGTATGTATATCTGCGTACAATGTTGTATAAATTATCTATGTTTTTAATGTATAAGTGTGTATATACGTTATACATGTATAATACGCATCCATGGACGTTTTGCACTTTTTTCTCTTTTTCTTCTTTGTCTTATTTTTTTGGTATACATTATGAGAGATTGTATATACAATCTCTAATTATATAGGCCAAAATCTGCCCCGAGGAAAATTGGTATACAGCGATGTCGAGGAAGGGATTAGTTGAGGTCAATTAGGAAGCACCAAGGTTCGTGACCGAGGAGCTGACCACAACCGAGGTCGACTGTTGTGTCCACAGTTGCAATGGTCACTATTTGAAATAAGATACTGAAGAGAATATTCCTTTGGATATTCCTTTGATTTGTACTGTTAGGGTTGTTAGGAACATGACTTGTATAAATAGAAAAAGAGATAAGGGGATAAGGCATGTAATATTCATTTGATAAGAACACTTTTTGAGAAGAAGACTCTCTCTTTAGCAAAGATACAAATTCTACCTTTTTACTAAGATTACATCATTTATTATTTCACACTTTTACATCAGATCCGAGAATAGTTCCAATATTCTAGGATTTGTCTATCATTCATCACTGTCAAAAAGAAGAATCATTCACCTCATTCAATATTTGGTGAATCATTCTCCTTATTTACACAATAAGAATGATGTTGTTCTATTATTGCTCTAATCTTTTAGAATATTAAATGCGCACTGTTTTCAGCTTCCCACCAACATTATCTCATGTTTTTTATGCTAACTAGCTCTAGATCTAGAAATATTATCATTAACTAGGTTTAACCCTTAATTTCACAAAATTTAATAGTTTAATCGAAAGTATATATTATTTTTTGGTCAAACAATAATTACCTGAAAAATACGACTAACAATTATTTTAAATTGCTAGTACATTAATTATTATACGCGGTCATTAAATTTTAGTGATATTTTTATTCTTGAAATTTTGCCATTTTTACAAAGATCTTTTACCAAAATTAACCTCAGATATGGCCAGTCAAAAAAAAATAAAAAAAAAAGAACTCAGTAAATAAAGCAATGTAACTGTTGAAAAAAATAAAGCAATGTAACCAACTTACCTTAAGATAAAGGTCAACAACTCTATAGAGCTGGTCATGGCTTCCGCTCAACCACCGATTCATTGACTGAACGACTAATTGAAAATCCACGGGTCGCAACTCTTTAACGTCGTTGAGGCACCTCATAACGCCGTTACCATCGTCAGCCAAACTTAACGCTTCAATACATCTACTCAACACTGACGACATCGTTTCACATTCCGGCAGCAGCGGAACGCAAGAACGCAGCACAATTGATGCATACTCTCGGTTAACGGCAATTACACGGCGAAAATAAGCTTCCGTTTTCTGTGCCAAGTTCTCACCACCCGCCATGTTATTAGCCTCCGTCATTTCTAGCAACTCCGCCGCCGTACGAAGAGCGGCGACGTTAAACGGCGTTATGACTATGTGCGCATCGTAACAAAACTCGGCGATTAAAGAAAATATTTCTGCCGTTATCTTTAACGGCGGAGAGAGGGTTAATTCGGACTGGCCCTTCAGGTTCCTTTTCAGAAATCCACTCCTTGCTGTCAACGGATCCTAAGGTAAATTTAGGAAATTAGTAAATGCCCCTAGCTTTTGCATTAATTGTGAAAATTACACTTCAGTTTAGTAGGCACAGCTCTCAAGTACATACCCAAAAATAATAAAAGCAATTTATGGTCTTTTAAGTTTTATGTATGTACTGATTATTTTTCAAAACGTATCAAATTGAGTTAGATGAAGAGTAATTGCAAGTTATAATATGTCCATTACACTTATTCTATTTATCTTGAAATAGATAATACTCCAAACCTTAGGAAACATGAAAAGAAACAGAAGTGCTGCCAATTAATGGTGAAAACTGAGTAGCCCAAAAAACTAAAAAGTAGTACAATTATCATCTCTCTGACCGTCATGTATCAATTTCGTTTTTTTTTTTTTTTTGTTGGTTTATGTATCAATCTCGTTGTTAATACATTAGTAGTATAATTTTTGCATTCTGTCATTCTCAAAAAAAGAAAATAAAAAAGGGGAATTCTAGACAAATGCTATTAAGAAATGGGCCACGTTTGGATTATTACTGTTAGAACTTTACGGGTAGATAGTAGAGAATCTAGAGATTTGTGTTGAAACAATTTAAAAGATTACGGTAAGATACGAACAAATAAACAAATTATTGAGTCATCAGCTATAATTTATGCCTGTTCAGATTGATAGCGATGTAGCAACAACATAACAATAAGTCAATTTTATATCCAGCAATTCATGGCGACACTCTCTCCTGTTATTCATAATTTAAGATTGGAAAAATGGTTTATAATTTGCAGCTACACATATAGACAAGAAGCACATATCAATCACATGTAAAATTAAAAAAAATTGTCGAAGGAACAAAAGAGGACCAAAAAAAAGAGAGAAAAAAAACACAGATTTCGTACAAAGCTCCTCCTGATTCTCTTTCCCCATGGGAAAACAAAAAAGAAAAAGAAGAGAGTGAATAGTGAATATATTTGGAGCATGAGAGTACCTTGTGTAGGCGAAAACGTGACTCCTCAACACGTATAACTACATCAGTGTCATTTCCTGTAGCTTGGGACCTTAAATAACAATTTCAAAGAAAAAACACCAAAAAAAAAATCAGAGAGTAAATCATAGCCCTTGAACGTAAACTGAGTAGGAATTTAGCAGTAAATTGCATACACCTCCAACCCCTGAGGATGATAATTACAACTAATCGTCAATAAAAAGTGAAATTAGTAACTTGAAAAAACTATAGTAGTAAGTTATTTATTACAATAGATTAAATAAACTAATAGTGTAACAACTCTTGTATATTCTTAGTGTATATAAGTTAAAATTCTTACCAGGAGACAACTCGAGAGCAGGGAGGTGAAGGAGATGGGGAGATTTCTGGGGAGACAGAAAGGGAAGTGGAGGAATCTTCAATATCATCTTCATAGATAGTATTCACAAGCCCTAAATCTGCCCAACGTCCTCTGATGGCTTCCATGGCCATGTCCTTCAATTTTTACCTTACTGTACCTACCACTGCTGCTTCTGCCGAAACGTTACGTTGGGTTTTGTTAATAATAATTTTAGGGTAGGGAGAAACCAAAGGAAAGGGGTGAAAGCAAGAATTATTACCCTGTTGGTAATTATGTAGTTGGGAGCATTAAATGGTAACAAGTAAGGTAATAAATGCCTTTGCCTTAATACTCTTTTGGTTGGAAATTCAAAAATACTTGCTTTCTTTGATGATTCTCTTCCTAAACCAGACTTTGAAATCTGATTTGCTTTCTATATATTGTAATCTCAACTTTCCTTAGAAATCTATGAAGGTGATATGATGTATAGTCCAAATGGCTGGAAAATTTCTTTGGATGGAAGACAAACAACTATTTTACTAAAAATAGAATGAAATGATGATGTTTTGTTTTACGGTTAGAAAGGAGAAGTGGAGAACGATGTATTACCAAATGGCAATGAAAAAAGAATGGCATGTAGTAGACAACTTACACTTAAACAAACTCAGAACTTAAAAAGGAGAAAGCTATTGAAGGAGGGAGGAAGCCATCGCTTTCGGGAGCGGTGCATGTAGTTGTGCCAAATCAAACTAAATAGGAGACTCATTGAAAGGGGTGTAATTGAGTAATTATTATTATTGTTATGGATTAATATCATAATTCTTTTTGTTTATATTTGCATTAATGTATCAAGATTGTTACGTTGGTTGACAACTAGCAATATTTGTAATTCATTAAGACATGTATAAATAGAGCAAATATTAGTTTTTATATTTGTTTGACGGTCAAAGAATATTTTAGGTAGTCTAAGTAGGGATTTTTTAGGATAAGTATGATCAATATTTTATAAGACGCTGAAAAATATAACTGAAGAAATTATTACTAGTATTTTCAGTCATTAAGTTTCGTTGTTGGTCAATGAGATTTTTAAGTAGCTTTAATAAGGTTTTGGTAAGAAAGTATTGCATTGAATTGGGACAAAAAACACGTACGCCTCTAAAAGAAGCGTTACTTAAAAAGGCTTGTCAAAATAGGCCTTATGAAAGCTAAAGGAAGAGTTCAAGGGACGCTAGAAAAGTTAAAACTAGGGACCATTTGTATTTATACCCGCTTTTTGTGTCATATTTTAACTTGTGTCCGTTTTGTAAAAAAAAATTGCAAACGTAGCCGCTTTTTTGTATAACTTCAGCATACGGGGCTGAAGTAGCAAAGGCAATCACGCAAAACTTCAGCATTCTAGTAGCCGGGCCTGAAGTTCAGCTCTAGAGCTGAAGTTTTTGTTTTGTAACTGGCAAACTTCAGCTCTAGAGCTGAAGTTTTTATTTTTGTAACTGGCGAACTTCAGCTCTAGAGCTGAAGTTTTTGTTTGTAACTGGCGAACTTCAGTTTTAGAGCTAAAGTTTTTATTTTTGTAACTAGTGAACTTCAGCTCTAGAGCTAAAGTTTGTCAATTACAACTTCAGCTCGAAAGCTAAAATGGCTTTGTAAAAAGTCTTTACATAATAGACTTATGTAAACCACCTTCAATAAAGAGAACTCTCCTTCCAACCCTATCAACAGCAAGAATAGAAAAAAGATGGCAATAAAATTAACATCACCAGTTATCACAGCAGACATAAGCGAAGCAGTATTGCCAAAACAATCGTCTTAAAAAGAACATGTGCATAAAACATGATAACATTCATCCCAGTTACCTGTTGAAATGCAGGAATAAGCATAGCAAATGTCAGTTGTGGCCTATTCCTTCGTTCGCGTATATTACTCCAAGGAATAAGCATAGCAAATGGAAGGAGGGTTCTCTTTATTGAAGGAGGAGGAGAAAGGGGGCTGAAGTTGTTTAAAAGGTGGATACAAGTTAAAAGTTTTAAAAAAAAATGGGTATAGGTTAAATGGGGGTGACCAAATAGGGCGCCGCGTGCAATTTTTACTTTTAGTTTTGCTTTAGTAAAAATGATGCTTTGGCTGCTAATATGACCTTTCATCTTTTTCCTCTTTTTGTCGAGGACCACGTTATTTGTCTAGGGCATGGAATAAAAAATTAAATAACCTGATACTGAACTGTCATGTATTGAAATAGGTAACTAAAATGTCAATAAATAAAAAACTAAGAGGGAAAGTTATTGTACTACCTTCGTTCACTTTTACATGTCCACTATTGACTTTGTACACAGATGACGTCCAAAACATACCTTGATAAGATATATGCTACGGTCTTATACAATATAATTTACCCAACTATGAGTCGAGGTCGAATCCCTCAGGGAGCTAGGAAGCATTCTAGTTGACTCAATTGCTAAATAATCTAAGTTGAACAAAGAGGGACAAATATACTTGGATTTTGTGGGTATTAACTAATGAATTAGATTCGACTAACTAACAACAAACTAAACTAAAAATCGAGAATAACTTAATTTGTAGATGATAAAAAGGCCTAAGGTAGAGAATCCCCCAATTGTCGGGCTAACTCTGAGTGAAATCCTGAAACTTTGTTTGACATTATTCTATCAACCTTGGACCTAAAGTTGTTGTGCTAGAGTTTCCCAACTACTAACGACACCATTCTTGAACTATTTTTTCCAAAATAATCAAGATAATAAACTCGCCCAATTCTATGTCACAGTTGAATCATGATGTCCCCGTAACGATTCTAAATCAGCTTAAGTAATTTCTTAATTCAACCTGAAGTACTGTTGTTTCACTGTCCCAACCTTGTCAATCTTTCCCAGGAATAGCAAGAAATAGGGCATAAACAATTGCGAGCTCAAACAATTGAATTTATTAAAACTGCAGCCAAACAAATAGAATAAGTATCAACGATTCAGGAATCTTTACTCAAAACCACCCAACAATAGGTTCACCAATACTCTAGATAGGGAATTTAGCTACTCATGTTTATACTAAAAATAACATAATAACTATTGTCAAAACAATCTCCATAGTAAAGGAAAATAAGAAAAGTTGAGAGAAACTCTTCAAATCTTCGATTAGGATAGGGTTTTTTCGGACTCTTCCAAGCCCTTCCTTGCTTCGAAGGTAGTGTTCTCTTCTTTCCAAGTCGAGATTGTGGCTGGGGAAGCGAAAAGAAGCTTTATATCGTGTTAAATTTGCTCTAAAGACCAAAATATCCTTATAATTTTCGCCCAGAAATTTCTGCTCGCGTGCACCGTGCGTTCTGCATTTGACCTTGTCTAGATGAGCGCACAGTCAAGGGAATATGCGATGTTTTTGTATTTTGTCCTTTTCTTAAATTTAAGCAAATTTTCGTCCCAAAACTTCAAACATTCCTTCAATTTTTATTTCAACTCCCTATCAACCAAAGAGCATCAATTAGGCATATTGAACACATTAACGGAACACATTAACGGAAGCATTTAACATTTAAAGAAAACTGTTGAAACATAAAAAAAAATCCCAAAATAATACAATCTAGCCCAAAACCAGGGTGTCACTGAGTACATGAGCGTCTAGATCAGTAAATACAGTCTACTACAGTATCTGAAGATATAAAGTGAAAGTATGACAGAGATAAAGAAGGAGGGTCAAGGCCCGCGAATGCCATGCAGCTACCTCGACAATCTCCAAACTCTAGAACCTGGATCAACAATCGCCGCTACGACCGGTATTGCCTGGATCTGCATACGAGGTGCATGGAATAACGTGAGTACACCAACTCAATAAGTGTGATGACTCGAAAGGTCATCACTTATTTTAAAAGTTAAATTTGTGTTTTAAGGCCTTAAAACCTCCTTTTGTCTTACCTCAATTTGTGTGCGCAGTCCGACATATATCTGGAAAGCCCTTATGTGAAAAATTTGAGAAAAATGCTAATTTTGCCTTTAAAATTAAATTTAAGTTGACTTCGGTCAATATTTTAGGTAAACGGTCCCAGAGGGTCCGTAGAAAAATATGGGACCTGGGCGTATGACCGGAATTGAATTCCAAGGTCCCAAGCCCGAGAAATGAATTTTTGAAAGATTTAACTAAAATTATAAGAGTTTTTGAAAATTTAGCGATGTTTGAATTTGGTGGTATCGAGCCCGTATTTTAGTTCCGGAGCCCGGTACAAGTTTAATATAGTATTAAAGTTGTGCCTGTAAAATTTGGTAAGAAACGGAATTCATATGACGTGAATCGGACCCTCGGTTGTGAAATGGAAACTTCAAGAGTTCTTGAGATTTTTCTTTGATTTTGATGATAACTCGTAGTTCTAGGTGTTATTTTGGCGATTTGATCACATGAGCAAGTCCGTATGATATTTTTAGATTTGTGTGCATGATTAGTTTGGAGCCCTGAGGACTCGGGTGAGTTTCGGATAGGTTTCGGGATGTTTTGAACTTAAGGAATTCTGTTGTTTTGCTACTTCTGGTATATTGATACGTTATTCGCGATATAGCTCTCGCGAACGCGAAGTACAAGTTGGGCTAGGGAGGGATTTCTCCTACGCGAATGCGAGGTCTTGGTCGCGAACGCGGAGCACTGGGGGGATTGCTCTTCGCAAACGCGACTAGCCACACAAGAACGCGTAGTGCAATGGAGGTGGCTGGAGGGAGTCCTTGAGTTGTTCTTCGCGAACGCGGTCCCAGGCCCGCGAACCCGAGCTGCTCATAACGAACGCGGAGGCCCTTCTAGCCATAAGCTTCGCGAACGTGAAGAAGGTCTGTCCAGCGATTTAAAAACAGAGGCAGACCGGGAATAAGCCATATTTTCATATCTCCTTCCATAGAATCCGACCTAGGGCGATTATTGAAGAGAAAATTCAACACCAAATCATAGGTATGTGTTCTTGAACTCATTTCTTTCATTTTCCATCAACACCCATTAGATTTCTAGGCCTAAATCTTGTTCTTTAAGGGTAGAAATTAGGAATTTTAAGAGAATTGAGAATTTTACAAATTTGGGGATTTAGACCTCGATTTGGGGTCGGATTCCGAAACTAATTGCATATTTGGACTCGTGGGTGAATGAGTGAACGGGTTTTGGTTCAAACCTCGAGTTTTGACCAAGCAGGCCCGGGATCGGGTTTTGACTTTTTTGAAAGAATGTTGGGAAATTTGTAATTTCTCATTTGAATTGGTTTCTTTGGCTTCAATTAATGTTAATAAGTTAATATTGGCTCGATACAATTGAATTGGAAGTGGAATCAAAAGAGAAAGCGATATTTGAGGCTTGAGTTTGGCCGTGGAATCCGAGGTAAGTGTTTGGTCTAACCTTAGCTTGAGGGAATATGTGTTGTGCCTTAATTGCTATGTGTTAGTGTCGAGTACGATGTATAGGTAAAGTGATGAGTATCTATACGTTGGTGTCAAGCATGCTCGTGAGTCTTATATTAAGATTGTTGTGATTTTATTATGTCTTGTTCATGCTTAGATTGAAGATTAGCACTGTGGATCAAAACTTATGATAAATTCTTGGTAATTGATCATTGTCGAGTATTGGTTCAAGTTGGAAATTATTTTGTGAAGTAACTGTTAAACTAGGTTGGTTATAGCTGATTCCCTTCCCGGGATGATATTTTTCTATTGTTGACTCCCTTGCCGGGACGATATTATTTCTAT